GTGTGTGTGTGTGTGTGTGTGTGTGTGTGTGTGTGTGTGTGTGTGTGTGGGGGGGGGTGTGTGTGTGTGTGTGTGTGTGTGTGTGATCCTCACACTGCACCACCAGCTGGATCAGAGCCTCTCTGGGTTTGACGTTGAAGCCGTTGTACTGGCTCGTCTGGCAGCGGTACGTCCCGCTCATGTCCCTCGTCACGTTGCTGATCCTCAGGATGCCGTCGTAGCTCTCCATCTGAGCCGAGCCGTCGGGCATCGCGGCCGGTAGCGCCGCCGCCACCGCTGCGCCGCTCTCCTCCACGCGGGACCACAGGATGATGGGTTTGGGTTTCCCTGAAACCAAGCACTGCAGGTCCACGGTGTCGCCCTCCTGGACCGTGAGCTGGGACTGGCCTTTGGGGACAGTGAGCTCAGGAGGAACTAGAGGAGAGCAGGGGGAGGTGTTTTAGGAGGCTAGTGATGTAAACAGAGYGCAGCTGCAGGGTAACACAGACCTGTGGTGGAGGAAATGTTGACGTCGATGCTGATCTCTGGGATTCCTCCGTTCCTCAGCGAGGCCACGCAGGTGTAGGTGCCGAAGTCGGTGAACTTCAGGTCGATGATGTCCAGGTTGGTGGTTCCCGGCGAGACGCTGGAGTCCATGTGGGTGATGACCATTCGCTCCGAGCTCCTCAGAGGACGCCCGTTCTTCAACCAGCTGAACTGCAACTCCTCAGGGGGCGTGGCTTCCACCTGGCAGCTGATCTTCACCTCCCGGCCGATCTGGATGTTGTCCTCATTGTGGTACGGGTCCGGTGTGATCCAGAACCGGCCTTTACGAAGACCTGTGAAGGTGACAGGTGAGACAACTGAGGGACACAAACTGTTGATAAAAATAAAAGAACACTAGATAAAAGACAAAAGTATCAAAATGTTAGCTAACAGCATCAAGTATCAAAAGCTAATAGCAGCAAAATGTTAGCTAAATTAGCAAAATGATAAAAATAGGAATTAGCTAGAAAAAGTAGCATAAGGCAAATTAAAAGAATAAAAAAGGTGTAGCTAAAAGATAAATAACAACATATCAACATGCTAATACTAGCAAAAGGTTAAAAAAACGTATCGAAACAGTAATAACCTAGCTAGCAAAATTAGCAAGATGCAAGTTACGAGAAGCAAAAATGTAACTAAAAGTTTAAGTAGCAAAGAAACAGCTAAAAACAAAAAGTATTGAAAAGCTCAGTAATTCTAGCAAAATGCTAAAAGAAACATAAAAGTAGCAAAAGGTTAGCTAAAGGTTAGGTAAAAGCAGAACATTAGTTTGAAAGCCAAAAATAACAAAACTCAAACTAAAAGCCAAAAGTAGTAAAAGATTAGCAAAAAATAAATTATCAAAAGGTTAGCTTGATGCTAAAATTGGTGAAATGATAGCTAAAAAATAATATTATTAAAAAGCTAAATAAAAGCTAAAAGCAGGAAGAGTCTAGCTTTAACCTAACATGACACCCAGACCGGGTGTTAAAGTCCAGTTTCAGGGTCTGAATCACAGCTCGGGCGTAGGAACTGTCCTGACCCCGACCCGTACCTCGGACCAGCACCGTGGTGGATTTCTTGGCGGCGTTTCCCACGTTGTTGGTGGCGGTGCAGGTGTAGGTGCCGCCGTCGTCCACCGTCAGAACAGGGAAGGTCAGCGTGCCGTCGTTAACGGTGCTCCTCTTCGGAAGCTCCTCCCCTTCAGGCCTGGACCACCTGAGCGTCGGTGGAGGGTCTCCGCCCGTCACCRCACACACCAGAGTCACCGTCTCCCCCGGGTTCACCACCACCGGGTCGTCCAGGAGGAGCTTAATGGAGGGAGGAGCTGAGAGGAAGAGAAAGTAAAAACATTTCTCTCTCCCTCCCTCAGCAGCAGCTACATAATTATATTAATGAGGGAGATAAAAATAGCTAAGCTGACCTTTGCCAAACAAAACTCATGTAATCAGCCCCTGCAGTGGTGCTGATGCTCCAAACGGGTCAGAACACAATCCCCACAGTAAACATTAAAGATGATCAGAGCAATTAGAAAAGATTTCTGCTGAAATAAACTTACAGTAGCTGTTTTATCAGGATTCAAACTTTATTTAAAGACCAGGAGCAGAGACTCAGAGAAATGTTCTGAGATGATAAATTATTATTCATGAMTCGGGTCAAAGAATCAGCTTTATTTTTTTACACAAGAGTTCCTCTCTGTCCTTTAACAAGAGGACAGGACACGACTCTTAATGTTCTSCTTCTAAACTCAGAYAAGACAGAGGTTMTGGTTCTTGGACCTGAACATGTTAGGGATCAACTTTGTAGCCTTTCAGCTCCTCTGGATGCATTAATCTGGCCTCCAGTTCTGATGTAAAGAACCTTGGTGTTATTTTTGATCAGGACGTCTTTTAACCCCCACATTAAAAATGTTACCAGGACCACCTTCTTCCACCTGCGTAATATCACTAAAATTAGAAATATTTTGTCCAAAAATGATGCAGAAAAACTGATTCATGCATTTATCATGTCTAGACTGGATTACTGTAATTCTTTATTATCTGGACATACAAAAAACTCTTTAAGAAGTCTTCAGTTAATCCAAAATGCAGTGGTAGGCAGCGCTAATCTAAAAATTAGCTCCGCAATTTCTAAAGCGCTTATAAAAATATTTAGGTCCGCAACTTCAAAACCACACATGCAGTAGAAAAATTAGCGGAAGCTAATTTTAAAGCGCAAGTTCAATTTGACACTTACTAGCTGCAATAATTCATGTACAATATATGCACATTACTGCCAAATAGTGGTGTATGAACTCTTTTACATCTTAATTTTACAACCGCTGATTGCTGGAGATGTGATTTCCTGAAACAGAACTTTAGCTCCTGGTGTAAAAATTAAAAARTTGTTGAGGGTTGCTAGTTCAACTGCTTCTTTTCTTTCTTTTGTTGTAGGTTTTTCATTAAAATAGCATCAGTAAAATAATTTTAAAACTGTTTATTGGAAAACTGAAGTGATGCATTCTTGGTACAGGATGGATTTGATTTGTGACAGGAAACGAAAGCACGGACTACAGGAATCTATCTTCACTTCAAAATAAGAGCTTGGATTTTAAAATTTTCCATGTAGTTGCTCCAGTTGACCACTAGATGTCTGTCTTCAGCAGCATAACATCTTTAAATCATTTCTAACCCAGTTGGCCGATTGCTTCGACCAATTACATCAAGTATTGTGCTCCAGCGTTTTAAAAAGGAGCTCCGATTGTAAAGTAAAATAAATCAATACATACAATTTTAGTATGGATTACAAAAACGTTAACCGTTTTTGCTGGGAAAGGGAGTTCTAAACATTGCCTTCCTGCTACATAAGCAGACACAAAGCATTGTGGGAAATGAGAACCATGACTGAACGCAACAGTCAGCAGGATGTATACCTTCACAATAAGTGTGTTTATCTGGGAGGGGTGCTGTTGTATAGATCACATGTGTTGTGATTCATTGACAGTCATACCTTCTGCTGTTCAAGATAATGATGACTGGTAGATAATTATTTATTAGTGGTACTGCATTTTAATTTTAGAAAGAGCAAATCCGCTTATGAATTATAAAAATTAGTAAGACTGCTAAAGCGCAAACGAAATATTTAGGTCCGCAATTAGCGGATTTGCGTTTTAGCGGACTGGTGCCCACCACTGCCAAAATGCTGCTGCTAGAGTTTTAATGAGAGTTGGAAGGAGAGATCATATTTCTCCAGTTTGAGCTTCTCTCCACTGGCTCCCTGTCAAATTCAGAATAGAATTTAAAATATT